CCCCAAAACCCCAAAACCCCATAAAGATGATTCTTAAACATTTAATTTCATATAAATATATTTTTATATTTAAATTAATATTCTTTGAAAGCTAAATACTTTATAAATTTAAAGCTTGATTATTATAGATAATTAATGTCATCTGGTCTTATCATTAAATTGCAATCAGGTATTCTCAATAAAATAGAGAAAAAGGAGGAATAACTCAGGTTTGAAACAACTCCAGCAATTTCAACAATTAAACTTTCAGAAGAGACTTTTAAAAAAATCAACTCAGCTACTAATTTAGGTAACATAATACACCTGACTTCAATTAAGCCAGAAAGTAATCTTTGATCTTAAAATTAAAACGATAAGATTGAATTTGCAAAAATGAATAATAACACAAGTCCTAATAAAGACCTATAGAAGAATTTATAACGCCTTAATGAACTGGAATAGTAACTAAAGCTTAAGCAGTTTGAAATAAGAGGGTAAGTTAAAGTTTTCGAGGAACAAAAATTGGATAAAGATTAGGAAAGAAAATAAATGTTAGTTAACAAAAGTATCGATATAGAATAAGACTTGCAAGTGTTGCCCTAGTAGTACAACATCTAGGATAGCATTGATAGCAAAGACAATAAGAGATGCAATATGATAAATATGAATGTGAATAACAACTTAATACTTCTACCACCAAGCAATCAAAGGCAAGAGTTTAATTTTACATCCAGAATCAACTCTGGAGTATCGATTAAATCTGATCAGTTTAAGAATTATTTCTTAAATCAAATGAAACTTCACAAACATCTTCAGCAAACTGGAGATGAAGATCCTGTTAGTCTAGATGAATCTCTTATTTCTCTCAAATAAGAAAGACCAATCGATAAGTAGATATCAGTCATTGACCCCTAGATATAGCAGCAGTCATTTGCCCCCAATCCAAATAACGTCATTTTACTTTTAGACTTAAAGGACGTAAACAATATTCTTACAGAAGAAAATCTAAAAGTTTATGAAAGTCTTATACCTGATCAGTCTTCCAAGAAAAAGAAAGATGATGATGAAGGTAGTCTTAAGGATTCAGTGAACATCAGCCTTCAAATAAAAGAGTAAGAAGAAAGCTTGCAGTAAAAGAAGAAGGTGCTTAATAAGTCAAAGGAACAAGTAAAGGAACAAGATAAATCAAAGCAGAGCACAAGCTAGGTAAATTAATCAAAAGTTTAAATCGAAGATCCCTTTTCATTTAAAAATCTAGCTGCTAAATCTTCAGAAGCATTGAAGAAGCAAGTAGTTACAAGGGTACTTGAAAAATCAATGACAAAAAAACGGAAGTAAACTGAAAACAGACCATTTTCTGCAGTGGTAAAGGATCTGGGGTATATCATTAACTTTTTAAGCGAGATTTTCCTAAATGATTATAAATCAGGGACAAAATCTTTTATAGATGAAAGCGAACAAAGAAATCAGAAGAATTTCCTACAGATTGCAAATAGAATAGCTAAATTTGAGGAGCTGTACGATATTGCATTTGACAAGTTCTAAGAAAAGCCATTGCTCATTATGTTCATCCAGTCCTTTAAGGTGGAAGAAGTGCATCAAATGTTCATGAAATTTTATCAACAGTTTGATGTTGACGAGTCTTTGACTTTCGAAATAGAAGAGATCAGTGAGTTGTTAGAACTTTACGCTGAGAAGATGGGAAAGGAAAAAATGAAAGCAATACTTTAAAACACCGGAGTCAAGTTCGATTCAGGCATAAAAGCAATATTTAAAGAAGGAGGCTACTCTAATCAAGCTTTTACTCCAGAGATTTATGATCAGTTTTTTGAAATTTTGGCTTCTGATGGAGAGGATTTTGTTCATTTCAATAATTTGCTCCCATATCTTATGATATTTTTCTTGTCCTCCTAGTTTCAAGCAATCAAGGACAGGAAAAAAATGTTTGAATAAGTTCTTGGAGAAGGCCAATATAAAACAGGGATTTACAGATCTTTTATGAAATATGGACTGTAGCATAATGAATTAGATAAGCCTCTAATTACTTACAGACTTGTAGAAAAAGTAGTAGTAGAGATGAGGACTATTTACCAATCAAGTTTTGGATTCGACTAAATTGAACTGATCTTGAGATAAGTTCGAATAAAAATGGAAGTAGATCCAATTTCAAAGATAGAAAGAGCTAAAATGTGTTACAGAGATAAGTTTAGTGGCTAAAGCTTTTCTAGATGGCTTGCTCTACTTATCTCGCTCTAAATGACTTGGACCAGACTAAAGAAAAAGTTAAAGGGAGAAAAAGACCCATTCATTTATCTCTATGAGGAAAAACTTTGGTTTATAGCTGCAAATGTTGATACATTTTGCTAAGATTCTTTAAATAGACTTGTTAAAGACAAATATATGGAGAAAATGCTAGACTACAAGGAAGAGAGATCATTTAGAAGGGAAAATGAAAGCAGTTTCCTTCAAACTGAGATTGATGAAAGTTGCCAGACCATAAACACAGAGCAATTATTCAAGTAGATTAATTTAAAAGTAAGATAAAATGTTTGATAACTCTACTAGACATTTATGGAATGCATGTATGAGACTTTGAAAATTTTCAATCCCTGGATAACAATCAACTTTGTAAAAGATAGTACCTTCTTCTATTTTCAAAAACTAGTTTTTCTGCGAGAAACCAGACCCATCAAGGCTTAAAAGATAATAGAGGATATATTTGGACCTGAAGATTCCACTCATGTGCAGACTCCGTAACTTAATTTGAATTTCATAATGCTTTAGTGAATTCCTAAATCAAATAAGAGACATAGTAAAATTTAAGCACATTAACATCAAATCTCATTACTTGTTCAATCTGAGTTTTAAAATCATTTACAACCATGCTAAGCATAACCTAAAACTCCATCAATTTAATCTGGTAAGGTTTAAATCTTATAACAATTATTAAAGCTTCAAAAGAAAAAGGTTAATGATTTGAGCGAGTAATATAGGCTTTTGTTAGAAAAGGATGAGAATTTCCAAAACTCACTGACGTTGACAAAATCAGCATATCAAAAAGATGGCTCTGATATATTAGATCAAAATGATTCAAATAATTTGGTCAAACTAGAAAATAAAAGTCCTCTTTTAAGTCCTCACGGCTAAAACAGAAAAGAATCAGGGGAAAACTATATTTAAAACATGCCATTAATGAGAGAAACTTATCTCTAAAAGAAAAATAATTTGAATATATCAATGAACAGTAATAGCTAGAAGCTAAATAGCAACTTTGAGTTGTCAAGACAAAACAGTAACAATCCACTTAGCAGATAAAGGACAGAGAAAATTGCGTCTGATCATGATTTGTAAGAGCAAGAAGAAGAATAGCAATAAGAAGATACTAAGTAAAATGACGAGGGTTAAGAGTTACAAAATGAATATTTACAAATGAAAGACCAGCATGACTTGGTTGGTTTCCTGCTTACTTGCAAAAAGATATCGTCAGTCGTCGAAGATGAAGATCAGAATAAACTGCAGAATAATCTATGGAAACTAAACAATAAGGAATCAGAGAAAATAAATAAAAAGATAAAACAGAAGAAATTCATAAAGAAGGAGAATACTTTGAGTGAAGACATTGTTACAAACTCAAACTAAGCATATCAAAGCTATGTAAATAGACTAATGAAGCAATCTACTTAAAAAGAAAAATAGCAATAACTAATCAAACAGCAGACCATGAAAGCCAATGAGATAGCTGTAGCTAACCTTCTGGGTAGCTTCAACAAACCAGATAACATAGTTTTTGAATAGAACCCTCAACTTAAACGAGGAATAACTGCAGCAGTACTTTCTCCAGCTTACCTTACTAAAGATGATGAGAACAAAAAGCTAATAATGTATAAGAAAACTGATGAGGATGAAGATTACGTTGATCTTTTAAGATATCAACATTAGGTCTATTAGCATAACTAACTTATGAATAAGTAATCCAAGTATCATGACAACGACTGTAAATGCACAATATTTTGACTTTTAATCTTAATTTCATGACTGTTCAACCAATACTTTCATAGTGTTAGGGGTTTTGGGGTTTTGGGGTTTTGGGG